GAATTTATTTTGAGTTTAATTTAAATAAAAAAAACAAACTTTTTATAATAAAATTTAAGTATTTCTATAAATTTATATATATTACTTTATTTAGTTTTTTTTAAAAAAACTCAATAAACAAAAAAAATGAATTAATATTAAATGATTTATTATATATAATAAAAAATATTTAACAAATAAATATTATTTTAATATAAAATTATTTTAAAAATATTAAGTTAAAGATATAATTAAAAATATAAATTAAGTTTTTATTTATTTATTTATTTATTTATATATTTATTTATTTATTTTTTATTTATTATTTAGATAAATTTAATTTTTATTTTTAATATTACAATCAACATTATATATTATTAATTTATTCTATTATTTTTATTTTGATAAATTTTAATAATTATATTTATTTATATTAAATTTTTAACCAAAATAGTATAATTTATTTTAATAAATTATTAAATTTTAAATGCATATTTTTGTAAGTATATTTGAAATTAAAATAATATTTTAATCATAATTAAAAATATTTTTATCAAAGATTTATAATTTATTTAAACTTATATTATTTTTATATTAGTTTTTAAAAAATATGTAATTTTACTATTATTTTAAAAAAGTTTTTTCTTACAATTTATTTATGTTTTTAACTATTTCTTAAACAGTATTTAAACGATTTCCAATATTTAATATATTAAGAATTATTTATATAAAAAAAAAAATATATTCGCAATATTATTCCAAAGTTTTCCAAATAATGGCAAACCCTATGAAAAATTTCGTACGTTTAATAATATTTTAAAAAAATTATTTATATTTAAAAAAATATAACTATAAGATTTGTAATATAAAAATTTATTATTTTAATAATCTAAATAATATTAAAATAAATAATTTAAAAAAGGATTTTTATTGTTAATCAAATAATTATTGAATATTTATAAATTTTTATTAATAATTAATATTAATTCAAAAATTTAAGAAAAATATGACCAAGTAAATAATTGTTAAAATAAAAACTAAAAGAAATTTTAATGAATAAGATAATTACATAATTAATCAAATTGAATAACTACTTTATTTAAGTTTTATTACTAATTTTTTTAATAAATATTTATTTAATGGAATTTTATATTATAATATGTGTAACAAAGCTTTCCATATTTAGAAAGCGATTCTATTTTGTTAGATTTTCTTGCATTAATAAACTATAAAATTATTTTATATATGGTATTACATAAAAAAATAATTAGTTAATAGCTTTTTTTAATTATATTTTAAAAAAAATTAGAGAAAAAATTAAAAAACAGAATAATCAAGTAATATATTAATATTTCAAGAAATATTATAAAATTTTTATACATAAATTTTTTATAGATTTGTTGTATATATGATAAAAAGCAATAGTATTTGGCTAATTTATTATTGCCAAATATTTAATTATTAGATTACTAAAAAAATATTTAAAATTATATATAATTTTATTAATATATCTATAAATATTTATTTTAAAAATTAAAGTAATAATTATAAATTATATATTTCTTTTTTATTTATTTTTCTATAATATTTTAAAAAAAATGCTTAATAAAAAAAAAAATTATCTTATTATTATCGTCTTTTAATTGATTGATTTAAAAAATTAAAAATAATATCTTATTTATTAATTTTTTTTAAAATACTTGAAATACATTTAAAAAATAATGGCCCCTTTATACTTAAAAGACTTAAAAAATATCGGATTTTTAAAAAAGACAGGGAGACATTGAAAAAATTCAAAATCATGTAAATTTTTGTAACTTCTATAGATTCTAAATTTAAAAGAGATTTAATCATCAAATAATAAGTATTTAATTTTAATATATATATGATTTTTAAATTATTTGATAAATAGTTTTAATTTTAATGATTAATTATTTTATAAAAAAAATTTAAAATTTCCAAATTTAAAAAATAGATATAACATTTACTTTTATAATTTTTAATTTAAAATTTATTTATGCCTGTAAAAAAAAAAAAAATATACTAAAGATATGTTAAATAAGAATTAATAATTAAAATAATTTTTTTAATAGAATAGTATTTGAAATTTTTTTATTAAATTTAATATTATAATATTTGAATTATTATATATTATCTTATATTATTTAATAATATTTTAGTTTATTTTATAATATTTTATTTTTTAGTATTTTATTTTATATTATTTTGTTTTATTGTATTTTATTTTTTATATTTAATAAATTTATAATATATTATATATTTTTTATATACAAATTATTTGATTACTATTTGTTTTATTATAAATATTTATTACAATTTTTTATTTATATTAATTAAATAATAAAATTTATGCATAATTTATTATAATTAATAAAAATAAATATTTAAAAAAAATTAATTTTTTTTTATAATTTTTGATTAAACATATCATTTGCTAATATTTTCTATATCATCATTTGATATAAAAGAAGTATTAGCTTCTATAATAATTTGATTTTTTGGTACTTCACTTTTTTACTTTCTATTTTATTTAATTATCGAAACGTTAACTTAAAACAAATTATTTTAATCTTGTTTGCTTTATATTTATTACTCTTTATTATTGTTTTTATATTACTTTTCATTGTTTCCTTAATTATAAATATAATCTAATGGATTACTCATACTTCTTTTTTATCTTAAAGTGTGTTCTAATGCTTTCTTAGTCCCTTAAGTTAATTTATCTTTAATATGCTTAGTAAATCCGATTTTTTACTAATTATATTTAAGATTACTATTTGTATAAAAATCTTAAAAAAAAAAAAAATATAAACATAAACATAATTGTGGAATAATAAATAAAACCTTTAGCTAAATTTTTCAAATATTATATAGTTTAATTTAAATTTATATTTTTTTACTAATTATTTTATTTATTTTCTTCAAAATAAAATTAATCATTATACAATTCTCCTAAAATTTTTATATTATTAACATTTCTTGAAGAAGCAGGATATTATTTTTTTAATCCATTATTCGATAAAGCATTACTATTCAAGTTTAAAATATTTTATTCTGCGAAAAAATCGACTACTCCTTTTTCATTTGTAACGACACCTTTGTTAATGTTAGAATCTGGAATTTAATTCTAATTATTTATTTAATTTTCATTTAATGTTTTTATTTCTTATGGAGAAATTATTGATTACATTTATATTTTTTATTATTTCTATTCTTTATTTGGAGATTAAAAAAAAAAATTTTAAGGAACACTATTAGTATATTAATGTTTTACTGAAAATCTTTATTATTTTATTTTTAATTTATATTAATTTTTTTTGTTTAAAAAAATGATTTTTATTAATTTTACATTTTAGGTTTCTCAAAAACAAGAGTAGAATTATCTTAATGTTTTTGATTTCTTCGATTTTTAGCATTATTCATAAATTTATAATAATAAGATCTGTAAAAATTTAATTCTTTTTACATTTTTTATTAGTTTTCATTAGTTTATATATTTTATTATATTAAATCATCATTGTTTGCACATAAGTTTCTAATTTCTTTTTAAATAAATTCAATCTTTTTAATAAGATTTTTTTTATATGATTTTTTTTTTTTTTTTTTACTTGTTACAATTGTCCTTTATTTTATTTGATTTCTCTATAAAACAAAATCTTAAAGTTTCTTAATTATAATTGTAATTTAGCTATATCATCAACTAATTATTATTTTGGCTTTATATTACTATTATTTCCATAATAATTTCTATTATTTACTAATTATTATTTTTCCCAATCATCTTTTTCTTTATCTTTTTATTGACAATGTTCTTTTATATACTCTTTACTAAAAAGATAATCTTATTCAAAATTTTAATATTCTTCAGAAATTTAAAACGCTTTTTAAAAATTATTAAAATAATTTGAAAAAAATAATAATTGCAATTTATAAAAATACTTTAAGAGCTTTAGAAATTTACTGGATTTTAAAAGAGAGTTTTAAATTTATGAATATCATATTTTAATTACTTTTTTTAAAAAAAATTAAAAATAAAATAAATAAAATATTAAACATTATTGTATTATTTTAAATCTGTAATTGCAGTTTTTAGTCCTTAATTTTCTTAATTTATTTTTTTAGCAATTAATTTATGATTTTCAATTTCACTATATAATTTTATTGATTATTCATTTGGAGTAATAATCTAAAATTATAATAATCAAATATTTTATTTAAAAATAAATTATTTACTTCTCTTATTTTAATAGAAACATCTCTTTAATGTTAAGGCTTTGATTTTTCTAACTCTTATATTGTATATTCTTTATCATGTATAATTCTTCGAAATTCTAAAATTTTTTCTTCAAGTTCTTATATAATATCTTTTTAAAATGAAATGCTTTCCTCATTTATTTATTCTTGAATTAAAACCTATTTATTTATTTATTTTAAAAATTAAAATTATCTTAATTATAAACTTTGCTTTAAGCCTGATTTCTTTCTTTTGTAATTCTTTAAATTGCATCTAATAGTTATTTATTTTCTTAATAAAGCTTTTCAAATAATTTATTTCTAGTTTCGTATTCAGTTACATTAATAGTAGTTGATACATTATTAGTATTATTTGTTACATTTTGTTAATTATTTATTGATTGCATCTTTTATACAAAAGCAATTTTTAAGGCTTCTTTATTTAATTTTAAAGATTATTCTAAATCTTTAATATATTCTTAAAATTAAGCATTTTCTGCTTATAAAAACTAAATTTTAGAATTTTATCTATTTGTTTGGAATTCATTTGTTTAAGAACCTAAAATCATTTTTTTTTTAGTGTATAAATATTTTATTTTAAATGATTATTTTTTTTAAATTTGATTTGCAATAATAGAAATATATTTTTAATAAAAAGTAAAATTAAATAAAAATAAAAATAAAATAAAAATAAATAAATAAAATGTCTATAAAATAAGATTTAGGTTATGAATAAGGCGATATTATTTAAAAAAAAATAAAAACAGATGTACGAAAAAAAAAAATATTCATTTTAATTTTATTATTTTATTTAATAATTTAATATAGTCTTTATCTTTAAATAAACCCTTAAAATTTATTGTACATAAAACCATAAATAAAGCCAAGTATTTAACAAAAATAATAATAATAAATAATATATAAAAGGGCTTCAACTTTAATACTTCCTCATGGAGAAGTATCTACGCCTGTATATATGCCAGTAGGCACCAAAGGAACAATAAAAGGTTTTTTTTTTAAAAAAAAAAAGATAAAAACCTAAAAAAAGGTCTAACATCGGAAGAAATGGAAAATCTTAATTGTAGACTACTTTTAGGAAACACATATCATTTAGCCTATTAACCAGGAGGCGATTTTTTAGAAAAAGTTGGAGGATTACATAAATATATGAATTGGAAATATAATATATTAACTGATTCTGGAGGTTTTCAAATGGTTTCTTTATCTAAATTATGCGAAATTACTGAAGAAGGGGTTAGGTTTTCATCACCAGTAGATGGTTCAGAGATGTTTTTAAGACCAGAAGATTCAGTTCACACCTAAAACTAAATTGGTGCTGATATAATGATGGCTTTAGATGATGTAGTATAGACAACAACATAAGGAGAAAGGATGAAAATAGCTTGCGAAAGGACAGTCAGATGGATAGATAGAAATATAGAGGCACACAAAAAATAAAATGAGTAAAATCTTTATCCAATAGTATAAGGAGGAATTGATTTCGAGCTAAGAAAATATTGCTTAGAATAATTAATATCTAAAGATGCTGCTGGGTATGCGATCGGAGGTCTTGCAGGAGGTGAAGACAAGTAAGATTTTTGGAGAATAGTTAATTTATGTACTGATTATTTACCTAAAGATAAGCCTGTATATTTAATGGGAGTTGGATATCCAGAAGATTTAGTTGTGTGTGCTTGTTTAGGTGTTGATTAGTTTGATTGCGTTTTTTCTACAAGAACAGCTAGATTTGGTACTGCATTTACTAAATATGGCTTTTTAAAACTAAAAAATTCTGAACGATAATTAGATTTAGGTCCTATTGATGATGATTGTGGTTGTGAGACTTGCAAAAGATTTAGTGTATCTTTTCTTTATAATACGATTGGAAAAGAAGAAACTGCTTGTCATTTAGTAAGCTATCATAATTTATATTATTTACTTAATTTAATGAAGAATTTAAGATAATCTATTCTTGATGGAACTTTATAATAATTTGTTAAGTATTTATTTATTAATTTTATTTATATTGATTTTCATTTATATCTAGCAATTTCTTTAAAAATTACTATAAATATGAAAAAAAAATACCTTAATGGATTAAAGATGCTATGGAAGCTGCAAAAATAAATTTAACCTTTACTTTTGATGAATGAATTTTCAAACTATATTTATAAAATATTTTTTTTTTTTTATGTATTTAGTTATTTTTAAAAATAATTTATTTTGATAATTAATTAAGGATTCTAAATTTATAATTTATTTAAAGTATTTATTTTTATACTAAAATTAAATTTTGAAAAAAATAAATATAATATACAATAGATTAGCTTAACAAAATGTAAGAAAATTATTTATAAGAAACCATTTTTAATAAAAAGCAGATATATCGAATATAAATAAGAAAAAAACATTTATAAAATAAAATTAATCTAAAAAGAGGAAAATAAACGGAATAAGAATTTGAATATAATCCCTAAAATGCTTATTTTTAAGGATAGGAAAATGTAATTATATATTTATTTATTTTAAAAAAATATTAAAATAGTAATTTGATGAATAATTAAAAATCTTATTAGAAGAAATGAATATACTGTTATAATAAAATTAATTTGATGAAATTATAAACTGTTTACTTTAATTGCTTATATTTTTAACAAATAATAAGGAAGATGTACTAATAAAAATAAGCAAGATAATATAGAGTGGAATACTTGAATTTTTGAGCAAGTTATTAGAAGATTAATATTATGATATATAAAGCATAACAAACATAAATTTAGAAATATTAGTTAATTTAACAGTAGGAAATTAAAATTAAACTTAAAAAGTATATTATACTGTACTACATGGTAGGCTATTGAAATTTTTAAATTATGAATTAAACAAAAATATCATAGATAGTGTAAAAAAAAGAAATTAGTTTTTAAAATAATAATAAAAAAGGCTTTAACAATTGTTTCAAATTTATTTTATGATTAATTAGTTTTTTGCTCTAATTTAATAGAAGAAGGAATCATTTAATAATTAATAGATATTTTTAAGTTTAAAAGAATTGGATATTATACTAAAAATAATTTAAAAATATATTAATCATACACTCTAGCATTGGTAAGTATTGCTTAGTATGACTAAATACCTGAAATCTAAGTAATATTATATATTATTATTATTTATACATTTTTATTGATAAAAATAAAGGTATTAGATTTATGTTTAGTTGCAAATAGCTTATTTAATGAAGCTAATGATTATGAATGTTGCTTGAATTTGATATATTGTGTAAATAGCTTAATATAAAATAATTAATCATTAGAATTTAAAATTATAAATAGTTTTTTAAACGAAGATTTTAAATTAAAAATTTTAAGTATAATTGAGCTAAAATTTGAGAATAATAGAATTATTATCATACAAGCATTAATGCTTTTTTCTATATTTTTAAAGGAAAAATGTGAAAATAATTATATTGTAAAATATAATATAATTAAGATTTTAGAAGATTTATTAGTAGAAAACGATTTTTAGATTTCTAATTAGATAAAATAACTTATTTTATATATACCTGTAGACTAAATTGAATAAAGTTAGATAATAAATATTTTATATAATTACCTACAAAGTTTTGATTATGAAGTATAAAATATAAAATTATATTTTTATTTTTTTAAATAAACAATTAAAGTTATAAATAGTTGGAATAAATATTCTATGCTAAATTTTATATAGATTAAATAAAGTATAATATATTAATGGAATCATTAAATAATTAATTTAAATAGCTAATTAAAATATAAACATTGAATCATATTATTTGATATTAGATGCAATTTATAATTTTATTTAATAATAAATTTAAAGTAATAATGATAAATAGTTTCTATACTAAATCATAGAAAATTAAAATCTTAATAAAGTTTTGGATGAAGCCTAAAATCATGAAAATTAATACATATAATAAAAAGCTTAAGAAACGTTTGAACTTTTAAATCAGTGAATAATATATTTAAATTAGAATAAATATTAAAATATTATTTTTTTAATTATATATATTTTTATATTATATATATTTTTGAGATCTTTTAAATATGATATTTCAATATTAATTTTTTATCACATATTAAATATTTTCGAATATTCTCAAATTACTTTTATATTATAATATTTTGAGATAAGAAAGTGTTTTAGTGTTTGAATAATATTTATTTTTAAATATTATACAATAATAAATAATAAAATATATATAATTTTTGATATTTAATATAAGAAGTTTTTATAAAAAAAACTTTATTTAAATATTTATTTGAAACTAAATGAATTAAATATACTATAATCTAAATATTATAATATGAAAATTTAATTTTCGAATATAATTTTCCAACTATATATTAAAAAACCTAAAAGTTCTTTATTCTCGATTTCATATAATCTATTGTAAAAAAATACATTTATATTGATAAAAGAATTTTTTTTTTGACATAACTTTTGTATACAATTAAATTTAATACTATCATTCTTTTTTTATTTATTTAAAAGCAAAATCAATTAAAGAATTTTTTTTTTCAATTAAATAAATAATAATGAGACTTACAAATTATGGAATTTTTAATATATATATTAATAAATATTGATTATAAAAAAAATATAGACAAATATTGATATTTTATACATTTCAAATATGAAAACCCGATATGTTATATCATTGGCGATATTAATAATTAATTGATAAAAATCAAAAAAAAGTTTAAAAAATTTATTGATTAATTATAACTTAAGAATATATCCCAATTTTCTAACAAGAAAATATAAAACCTTAGATATTATTATTACAAGTTAATCATTAAATTGTTAAGCACATTTAGCTATAGGGAATAGCGATCATAAATAAAAATTAGCCCAAATTTGTTAACACTATATTTTAAAAAGTAAAATAATAATTATTTATAACAATAAATAAGTAAAATAAATATTTTTAATTTCACTTTAAACAAAAAACCCATAGTTAAATATATATTTATAATGATAACAATTAAATAAATAACTAGAAAACAATAATAAACAAACTTATGATGTCTTTAAAGATACATAAAATTGGTAATAATTTATATTTAATTAAAAAAAGATTAAAAATTAAAATTGGATTAATCTTTGGAAAAACATAACTGATTTCTTAAAGACAAATAAATAATTTAATACAAAAAAAGAAAAAATGGCAACCTACAGATAGCTTATATATATATAGAATTAATTAATTTAAGGAAAATATCAATTAAATTCCTATTTAAATATTATTTTAATCATTTTTAAAAGATATTCCTAAATAAATGGTTTAAATTAGAATATAAAAATAAATATTAAAGATAAATATAATAAAGCTATCTCATATGACCTAATTTCAGATTCAATAATCATATATTTTTGAATCAAAAAGAAGTAACAATCTATAAAATCTAATTTAAAGGATTCTTAACAAAAACTAATTTAAAAAATACATATGACAGGTAGTCTTTTTTGTCTTAATAAAAATTATACAGTCACCTGTACAATTAATTACATAAGACCTATTATTATTTAATCTCCAATTATAAAACTTCTAGAATTTTGAATTCAAGAAAAATTAGCTGCATATATATAAACTAAAATTGGTAAACCTTAAACTGGATTTATAAAAAATTCATGTACAGAAATAAATTTATTGAATTTCGTATTATATTAGAATACGCTTTTAAAACAAAAACTAGAAATCAGGGGTTCTAATTATTGATTTAAAAAAGTGAATTTTATATGGTTCTTTATAATATTCTACTTAAAATTATACATGAGAAACAAATTTTAAATATTAGAATTCCTTCTTAATAACTTTTATATAAAAATTGGTAATAAAGATTTTCGTATAACAAGATAGTTGCTCAAGGATTGATTATTAATCCTTTTTTATTTAACATATTTATAGATACCTTGCATGAGGCTTTTCTAAAAAAAATCCCAATAGATAACTAATATATCTATGTAGATGATATAAGTATTATTTTTAATAACTTATTTGAATTAATTGATGTAATTGAAACTCTAAATAATTTATTGGATAATTACTTAAAAAATGCTAGTAAATAGGAAAAAAAATCAGGCGTATTATTTAAATATCTCATAATCCACAATAAGTATAGAAATAATTTTAATAATTATCCAGTCAGTCATTAACTAATATCTATATTTAGGAATAATATATATAATTGGAATAATAACTATAAGAAAATAAAAAAAATTATTATATTCAATATTAAGTATAAACTAAGTTTAACAATAAAGTATTTTTTTCAAAAATAAATTCCTTTCATGATAACCTCTTAATTTAAAGTAATTACTTATGGAATCGTTTTTTTTTAATTTTCAAACTAGCCTTACAAGGATAAATGATAATAACTAGTTTCTAATTCTTTAAAAAAAAAACTTTGGGAATTACAAATAGATACAAAATATTATAATAAATCCATTTCTAAAAAATATATTGTTATTTATTATATCTTCTATTAAACAAATCTTGTTATTCAAAAAAAATAATCTACAAAGAATATGATTAATAACTACTAGATCTATATAATTTAAAAAATTAACACAACTTATAAATAGATAATGAGGAAGAAATCAGAGAAATATTATTCTTATAATTATTTTAGTTTATTAAAAAATCAGATTTAAAATAAAAATATTAATTTAAATAATTAAAAAAAATTAATATAATATTATGAATAATATAATATTAATATATCAAGATTATAAATAAGAAATTTGTTAAAAAAAATTAAATGTATTATTTGTATGTTAAAATTTTAATAAATATTCGGGCTAATCACCGAATAAAGATAATTAGATAAAAATAATCATAAAAAAATAAATTTAAAATAAAAATAAATTATTAAAAGTTACTAGCTATTTTAATAATATTTCTGTGTTTAAATATTAATATTTTATATAGAAAATAATATAATAAGTATATATTATATATATTACTAACATTTTGAAATTTTATTAGCAAAATTTTATCTAATCAAATCAATTTATTAGTTTTAACTATTAATAAAAAAAAATTAAATGTTTTTATAAATAATTAATAGTTAAATAACATATCAATATAATTAATTAAATTTTCTAATTGATAAAATAAATTGTTTATTTTTACTTACTATTTTTAATAGCTAAAAATATGTGTATATATATTTATTAATATTAGCTAAAATAGTAATATAAATATGTTATTTAACTTTTAAATTATAAAATGTATATTTATAAACTAACAAAAATAAATAATCATAAGTTTAAAAAAAAGTAATAATATTAAACATAAGTTCTAATAAAAAATGTTAAACATAAAGCAAAAACACGATGAGCTCTTAAGTAATTCTGTATTTAAAAGATAAAAAATGATAATGGATATGATTGAACTAAACAAAAATGAAGAAGTGAATGCTATTAATTATTAATAATAAATGAATAAACAAAAGATAATATTTTATAAAAGTTAGAAAGATAAAGATGTTCTTAAATAAAACTTTTAAAAAATCTTAAAACTAAATATATTGTAAAAAGGTTAGAATATAGACTATGATAATCTTGTAAAAAACATACCTGATACATTATTAAATGACTAATTCAAATCAAAAGTTGAAAGAGCATAATATCTAAATTCTAAATAAAAACATAATAATTATATCCATTAATATTTAAAAAAATAAAATTCAAAAATAGAGTAAACGTATCAAAAGGTCTAAAATTTTGAAAAAGATTTTGTTTAAACTCCATGTAATTAATTATGTAAATAAATTAAGATGAGCTTTAACTAAAAATAGCAAGATAAAAATAAAATTAAAAGACTTTATACTTAATAAGTTAATGATTTTAATTAAAATAAAAGAAGTTCTACTACTAGTACATTTAGATTAAGCACTATGATAGAAGATAGTAATTCTATAAATAAAGCCTTGGAAATAAACAAAAATAATGATAACATGTATAACTTTTAGAAACATCGTAAATTAAAATACTCTAAAACAAATAAATTTGCTTGATTAATCTAATTTAAATTTAGATTTAATATTTTCTTTAAACTCTATATGATTTTATTACTTTTATCAAATTTTTATATATTAATAAAAAAATTATATTTTTAATAATTTATGTAGATTAATAATACTAAAATTAATTTTTTTAAAAAAAAAAAATCTGCTTTTCAATTAAATTGTTATAAATATTAATTTAAATTAATATTATAATTAGTATTCTGTTGTTTTATTTTTATTTTTAAACCAAAAGAAAACAGATTAAGCAAATGTAAACATAAAAAAGCTTATTGATTATTAAATATATGTTAAAACCAAAATATATTTGTAAAAAAAGAAAATATAATTTATTACTAAGACAAAAAATTTCATTTCTTAAAATTTTCTGGAAAAATAAATTTTCTATTATAAGCATCATCATTAAGTAACATTTGATTTTGTAATTCATTTCTAATAGTATTAAAAGGTATCATTTATTATTATTCCATTAAAAAAGCTCCGTCTAAAGTTTTATAAAGTTCCATAAAATTAGAACATATTAAAAAAAAGAAAATAAGCCAAGGAATTTATCTAATAAGATATCTAAAAAAAATTCCAAAGTCAAAAACTGCTAAATCTTTTTCAAGAATAGTTAAATATTTATTTTAGAATTCTTCTAAAGACATTTCTTCAAATATTTTTTTTGTTAAAATAAGTTCGTTTTCATTAAATCCTTCTCTTTTCTCATCTGGTTATTCCTTTTTTACTTTTCTTCCTATTGCATATAATTATTTTTTATTTGTATCAATGATAATATCTTTATCTTCTGGAATATTATTTATATCAATATCTTCTAATAAAATACTATTCTAAGGTAAAACATCAATAAAACCTAATTTTATTTAATGTATTTCCCCATTTTCTTTTCCTCCTAATAGTTGATTATCAATAATATTGACTTTTTAAATATTTATGCGTTCGTCTTATAAATCTATTTTCCCTTCAGAAAGAATTTATAGAGCTAAAGGATTATCTTTTAATTGTAATTCTGACTTTTAATTGATTTAAAGTCCAGATTCTGACTAAAATAATTACTTTGCTTAATTTGATGTTTATTAAAATTTAATTTGAGTAGGATTATTTGTATAATCATTAACTAATAATTGGCTTTTTTCTTCAAAAACAAGTTCTTATTTCACTTCAAAAATTGATTTTGAAACTTATTATTGTTATTATTATACATCTTGTTGAAAAATCTGATTTTTTTATTAATTTTATTCTAATTATTTTAAACTTTAATTGTTAATATTTGTAAAGTGTCGAATATTTTTCATATTTTTTATTAATATTTTTCTTAAAATCATTTTTATGTATTTATTATATATATATATTTTTTTTCTTAGTAATAAATTAAAACATTACTTAGTTAATTTATTTATTTAGTTTTTTTTTTTTATATTTAATTAAAAGAAATACTATTTTTTTTTTTAATTTAATATAAAAAAAAGCCTCAATAAATTACTATATTTTTAACTTATAAATCTTGTTTTATTGAAAGTTTTTAATCCTAAAATATTTATACCATTTAATAAAAAAAAATTCATTTAGGTCGGGATAAATTTATTAAAATTTTTATAAATCAAAATTACAAATAAAATATAAAAAATTCGAAATTAGATATAATAAATTAATAATGTATATGTTTTGTAATAATATGTTTATTTAATAACTAATTTATAAAATATGCTTTTTAGTTGTTTTGATAATAAATTTAAAAGAAACTTGAAATATAAATCTTTTATTAAACTAGACATCATATTTTATATTCAAAGTTTAAATAATATATATATATATATATATAATAAAAAAAAACTAAATAAAGTATTAAATTTATTTATGAAAACTGTTTAAATAATTATCTATTTATTAATTTGAACAAATAAAATAGGCAATTACAAATAAACATTATTTATTGTATGTTTAATATAAAATAAAAAATAAAAAATATGATCACCAGTTGGGGTCCTTCTTACCAACTTTTTATTTTTTAATTTAAGCAGCATCTAAGAAAACAACAGTTTTACATCTTTTAATTGGTGTAACTCTTTTAGTTTTGCATTTTGTGCAATCAAACCTTTTTAAAAATAATTTTAAATTCATTTTTCTTTAGTTTAATATTGTATATATATAATTACTTAAGAGCAACTTTCTTAGTTGTTTTTGCTTTCTTTCTGAAAATAGGTTTGCTTTAACCACCATAACCTGCTTACTTCATGTCGTAACGTCTTCTACCTAAAAATATTTTTTATTAAAAACTATGTCAAATAAAATATATATATATAGTTATTAAACCTTAAGAATGAGTTGATTCTTTAGATTTTTTGTATTAAGATACTTTGTGAACTTAATGGGCATTGCATTTTTTACAGTATGTTTTTCTAGTTTTAGGAATCTATACCATTTCTGTTTTTGATAATACTTATTTTTAATATTATTATTTTAATTAATATGATTTCTTATTATAAAGTAATAAGGTATTAAATTTATATTAATTTAATTTGGCTTTTAAGAATTAAATATAAATATAAATATATATATATATATAAATATATATATTTATATATATATATATATATATATATTATTTTAATATTTTAATAATAAAATAGTTAATCATTTAAGTAATAAAATTTACATAAGTAATATCAATTTTATTCTTAATCATATTATTTGAAAAAAAAATTATTTGAAAAATATAAATATTGATAATCATTTTTGAATTATGTATTTAAATCCTTTCCAATTAGTAGGTGCTAAATAGTCAAATTTACTTATATAATTCATTATATTTTTAGTTGGTCCATCATAAGGATTAATCAATCTAGCTTCCTACATATAACTATTACTTTTAGTCCATTCTCCTTTAAAATAATATAACATACCTTGATTATAAGCTTCTAAGAATTATTTATCTTTAATATAAGCTAAGCTTAAATCTTTATTACTTTGAATATAAATATTTATATCCCATATATTTTCGCCAGAAAGAACACTATTCATAATATCAATGATTTCTTATTTTTTAAATTACGAAATTAGAAACTTTTAAAATAGATTAAAAAAAATAAAAAAATAAAAAAATAAAAAATACTTTATCATATTTAGTTAGAGTATCGTCTTATTGTTTACTTTCAGGTAAATTCCCACAATCTAAATCTAATGTATAAATATTAAACGATTCTTAATTTTCTTTAAAAGTAATTCTATCAATATTTCTTGTTACTTCTTACATTGAGCTCGATAAAATTTTATGCATTTATTCTGAAATAATTAAGGGAACTCCATACTATTAACTGACTCCTTCTAATCTAGAAGCCATAGTAACATTTTAACTAATATAGGTCGCATCTATTTTGAAATAAGATCCAATAGGTCCTTCAATGCTCCAACCAACATGTAATCCAATACCTAATTCAACTTTTTGATTTAGTATCCTTCTGTCATTTTTGAAAGCAAGAATTTTTGGTTCTCTATGCATTTTTACAATAGTTTTAAGAAAAGAAATAAGCGAGAAATCCGCAAGTAAATTGATATATGTTAAATCATTAAAGTTTACAATTTTTTCGTTTTCTTCTCCAAAACTATATTTATCATTTTAAATTTTCCAAACAACCAAAAAAGATTCTCCTCCGTTTCTATTCGCTCCCCCAAAATATCGATCAACCATACAATGGAGAATATCAGCTATATTATTTACAAAAATGAGTACATCTTCTTATAAAGCTTCTGTAATTTCCATAAAATTTCGAATTTTGCAGAAACCATAAATTGCACATTACTTCTTACCTTCAACTAAAGCTTCGAAATCTCCTGTCTAAGAAATATTTTTTGTTATTATTTCTGCTCCTGCATCTCCGAATCCTAGAGCTAGAAGAAATCCAATTTTAACAATAGCGTTTTCTATAATAAAAGTTTCATATTATTAATTATCATTTTCAAATAAATTTTTTAAATTTTCTTCTTTCCAATGTATTGGATTTTTAGTTATTTAAATTACTTTATTTCTCATTCTTTCTATAGGTCCTATAGCTAAATCGTTAACATCTTTAGAAAATAAAATTGAGCCAATAGTAAGGACAAAACAAACAAAAATAGTTCTTCCAATCGAAAGATATGAATTCAAAACTGATATAGAATGTGTATTTAGGAAACCTTAAATTAAAAGGTCATCTTCATTTTCTATTTTTTATAAAAAATTTATTTCTTCCAATTATTCTGGATGATTTTATTTGTATTTCTCTACATCTAAAATATAGCCGATTCCTTATTTTTCTTCAGTACGCAATCCTTCAATATTGTCATTATAAGTTTCAATATAAGATAAAGGCACTCTGAAATAAACAATAGGAGTTGATAAACTTTAATGCTAATTTATAATATCTTAAAATTACTGTTTTATCTAATCAATAGTAGTCTTTTCTTCAATTATCATTTTTATTTGTTAAGTTGCTAAATCCATACTCATAGGTAACTCGTAAAAATATTCAGCAGAAAATAAAGGCATTAAAAATAATAAAAGTAATACTATAATAATTACTCTTTTTGTAGTTAAATCTGATAATATTATTGATACTCGAGATTCTTTAGACAGTGTTGAATTCTTATTTTAAAAAAATTAAAAAAAATTAAATATATAAATTTATATTAACTTCATTCTATTATCTAAGTATTATAGGCTCTTTTTTTTCTTTAGAAGTAGTATTACTAATTATTTAAGGAATCGACTCTTTAGTTATGAATTCTCCATTTAGCTAAGGGTTTATTTCTCGATTTTCTTTAAAAGTTAGAGGAATTATTTTAGTTATACTACTGTTTTTCCGTTATTACAAAAAATTTTTTTTTTTTTTTTTTCTTTCTTCAATTTTCTATTTATAATTTTAGCTTTACTAATTATTTTTTGAAGCTGCTTTATATAGTTTGACTATTCTTATTAATTTAATTATTCTGATAATTCTTCCTGTTCTTTTTTAAATTAAAAATAATATCAAACTAATATTATAAAATAAAGTAAAAAATACCTAGAACCTACCCTAGATGATCTTCCTGCTTTAGCTAAAGAAGCGGCATTCGAAGCAGAATCAAAAAAAATAATTTAATTTAAAATTTATAAATCGAATATTAAAGATAATGTAGAAAGAGTATCTAACCAAAAAAAAAAGGAAAGCCAGTAATTTTATTTTGCTAAAACAGCTAAAATTATTTCAAAAGTGAATAAACTTATACAAGCAAATATAATTCCATCATATATAATGTCTTAACTTTTTGCACTTGTAATTACACGAATATCATCTCCAAATAATGCTTATAAGGTCATAATATTGATAATTATATTAAAAATTGTATTATTTAATATTTTTATTAAAAAAGGAAATTTTTCAACTCTTTTGTTTTCTTTTTCTAATTCATTGAATATATTTAATGACATTTTTTTTCTTTGTTATCTGTTTACTAGACCCTTTTCTTAAGATTCTTAAATTATTACAGATATCCTTTAAGGCTTTCGATTTTTGCCTTACCGACCTTATAAATTAGTTAATTAAATCATTGTATTTGAAAGTAAATTAGGTCTATTTTTTAAAAAAATTAATAAATTCATATATTTTTATTAACTATAACTTTGATTGATTCTTATTTTGAACATTATTTTCTTTATTTTTTTAATAAATTTTTTAATAATAAAAAATAATTTTACAACTCAGTATCATTGTTTTTTAGTTTTATTTTTATTATAAAAAAATTGAATTTTGACTTTTAAAAATATTATTATCTTAATGGTTTTACATTACTTATTCCTATATTTATTTAGTACTAATAAATTATGTTTTTGGATGTGCTTAAATATTTTCTTTATTTTATTATAACTTTTCTGCATTTATTATAGGCTCTTAACCACGAAGAATAAAAATCTCCGACATATTTATGTTTCAATATTTATTTTTTTCTTAAAAAATAAATTTCTTTTAATTTTATTTTTTTAAAAATTAAAATATTAGAAAATATAAAATAAAATTAATTAATTAACAATTAAACTTTATAAAATTAGTTTTATTTAAATAATAACTAAAGTTAAAAATAATTTAATAATTAAACAAAGCTCTAATTAAATAAGGTAATTTTCAAAAAAATTAAAAATTCTTAATTAAATACATTATATTTATAAAGCTTTTTTTTAATTGTTCGTTATAAAAAAATATATGTTTTTTATAATTTTTAATAAGTATATAGTAAATGAGAGTTTATTTAATTCAAGGATATATAAATTTTTTAAAATTATAATTTTATGCCTTTTCAATTAGTTAAAAGTTAATACTTATAATCAATTTTTTTTATTACTAGATTATATAATTTTATTGGTCTTTTTTTTTATTAAAAAATTATCAATATATAATAATAATTAATAAATAAATACAGATTAATAATTTAAAAAAATTAGGAATATCTTCTAATGGAATAAAAATTTTATAATTTATAATAAATATAATTTTATACTTTTAATGAGTTATTTTAAAAGCAAAACTTAAATATAGAAAATAAAAGGCAGGCTATATACATAATAAAACCAGAGGGCAAATATTTTTAAAACCGTGTGTCATTTTTTAAATACAAAATAAGTTTTTTTTATTGTAAGCTTAACTAAGATAATTTTTTTAAACACAGGCTATTTTTTTAAAAAAATAATATGCCTTTAATTAGAAATATTTTTTAATATAGATTCTTTTTCATTAAAAGTAAATTGTATTTATTTTATTAATTAAAAGCAGATTTAATATTTAAATAAGAATTTGAAAGAATAAATGTAATTCTAATTTTTATTATATGTTTTTATAATGTGTAAAAACTTTAAATTATGAAATATAAATTCAACGATTTTAAAAGTGTTTAAAATCTATCATTATCTATTTCTAAAAAAAAGAATCTGCCGGATTATTTCAACAGAATGTAATGAATCAACTTTTATAACCTATTATCTAATTCACTATATACTTAGGTACTTTTGGATTTTAGTAAAAAAAAAATTAAATTAAAATAAATATAAAAAAATTTCAATGAATAGTAAAACTAAAAAACTATAAATATTTTAACACAGATAACCTATAATACTCGATATTGATACTTTCTAAAATTTTAGTGTTTTAATAGTTAAAAACAATATAATTTTATAATTATTTTAGATATATATTAGTTATAAAATATATCAATTATTAAATAAGTGTACTTAGATTATTTAGATATATTAATATTACTTGTTCATATTTTTTCTGTAATTATTTTTAAAAACTCAATCAATAAAAAAAAAATCTATTAATCAATTATTTTTTATGTTTATTGAGGTTTTTTAAAAAAATTAGAGAAATTATAAATAAACATATCAACAAATAAAATTTTTCTAATAATTTAAATAAAAATTATAAACGTATTATAACATATTACAATGTCAGCCGATATTTAAAACAATTTGATAGTAGCAATATTTAAAAAAAGTACTTGCAACAAAATTAATTAGTCCATATTATTTTAAATGTTTTACTGATACCGATACTAGCAAATATTTATAAAATGGTATTGACAGATATTGATACATTTACATTTTAATATATATAAATTCAAAAGGTGAAAAATAAGAAATTATATGAATTGTAAATTTATATATAAGAAATTTTTAAATATTTTTTTTAATATTTATAACAAACATGCTAAATTTATAGATATAGTTTATCAATACACATTTTCTGAAAAAAAAAAATATATTGATTAAAATCAATTAACTTCATAGCCCCAAAATTGTTTTTTCAAAACCGCTTTGTTTAAAGTGTTTAATGAGAACTTATGGCATAAATGAAAAATATTTATATTTAAAATAAACATAATCATATTTCTTCACCAAAAGGATCATCAAAGTACTTTTAATTATTAATTAATGTTTAAAATTTTTAGTGCACTTTTACTTATTATATTTTTTTTTTGTTAATCTGTATAAAAATAATTTAATTTAATAAATTAATAATGCTTTTTATTTATTTATATATTGTATAAAATAAAAAACATAGTAAATAAAAGTGAACATAAAATACTTGCATGTTTTCAAATATTTTAAAATAAATTAAAGTAAAAATCTCCTTTTAACCTTAAAATTTCATTAGTTATTCCAGAAAAAAATCCAACAACAGCAGAAAAAGGAAGACATAAATATTCTTCTTGAATAAATTTTGATTTTATTTCATAAAAACTTTAATCTTCTATATCAAGTACAGAGAAAATAAAACCATAAAAGAACCCCATAAAAATACTTATAAAGACTATAATATTTATTTATTTTGGAGTTTCAATTATATTTTTTAATAATACTTTTAAAATATTCCTAATAAAAAATTAAAAAAGTCAACAATACAAATTACGCAACTGAAATTTAAAGAAATAGATATAATTATATAAATAGGCGTTTTTACTAAAAAATTATACTTGACGAACCATCTTTCTTCTAAAAAAAAGCAAAATAATCCTGATAAAATTATAATACAAGAAAAAATAAATACAAAAGGTTTTCTTTCTTCGGCTATATCATTTTCATATTCAAATATACTATTTATTAAAAAAAATCCAAATAATATTAAAACCATTCCAAAATACTTTTTTTTATTTTATTTATTAATAAAAGATAAATATTAATATTAATTTAACAAATGCGAAAATAATATTAAATGTGATTTCTAATAAACATGCATTTACTAAAAAACCTAAAATAATGCATGTAAAACTTCCTACTATACCAGATAAAATATAATTTTAAGAATCTTAAATATCAAATTAATTATAAATATTAGACAGCATTAGCAAATAATAAATAATAATATAAAAATTAAATTTTTAAATGTATATGTGTAATATATAAATAAATTTAAATAATTAAAATATATATTATTTAATTATCAAATAAAATTGTTTTACATAATTTATTATTTATTTATTTTTTTATTTATTTTTTTATTTATTTTTTTATTTATTTTTTTATTTTTTTATTAAATTATTTATTTATTTATTTATTTATTTATTCATTTTAGATTTTATTATTATTATTTTTTTTTATTACTATTAATGTTTTTTTTAATTTTTTTTTTTTTTTTACTTAATATATATATATTTTAACTAACATTAATTTCTCTTTTTATTTTATTTATTTTTTATATAATTTTTTTTTTTCTTATTTCATTATTAAATAAATTACTTTTATTTATATTTTTTTCTGTATATAAATAATACAATAGTTTTATTTTTTCTGATTTACTCATATTTAAGAAAAATCAGTAGTTTTTTTTATAAGCTTTATTTTTTATTATTTTTTTTTTTTATTTTTTTTTAATTATAATTTATGTATTATCTTTTTTTACATTATTATTAAGACCAACAACCTTCTTAAGTTTATTTTAGCTAATTTTAATTTAATTTATATACATAAAGTATTTAGATAACATTAATTTATTTATGGTCTTTTTAAATACATTTTTATTTTATGTTAATTTATGATTTATATTTATCCAATGATGATATTATTTTGCTTAATTTTATTTATAACAAATATAATATAATTCAATTAAAAAAAATTATATTTTAAAAATTTTAAAATATATATAATCTTTTTTTTTAAATACGTTTTAAAACTTTATTTTTTATACTTATTATAAATATTTTAATATTATTTTTAATATCACAGTTTTATTTTTTAATATTTTATAAATATTATTTAAATAATAAAAAATGTTTATTAGAAAAAACTGTTTTTCATATATAATAATATTATTAAGTACATTATATAAATTCGTATTTTTATTTATAATAATATTTTATTTTAATTCAAGTTTTCTTTTTTAGAACATTTTAATTAGAATTATAAAATAAAGAATTAAATGATATCTAACTTTAAAATTAAAATCGATATTAATAGTAATAAAGTAAAAAATTGATATAAATATATTATTATTAATAAAATAAAAGAAGCTTTTAGTATTTCTAATTAAATAGAAAAATAAAACTCATTCAAGTAATTTGTAGAAAAGATAAATCATATTACAAAATATTGTATTCTTTAAATAATGTGTAAATAATATTAATTTGTCATTATTTTTTATATAATATATAATAATATATTTAATGATTTAATCAAAATTATATTGCATTTGAAAAATTATTATTATTTTAAAATAAGAAATTGATGAAAATGATTAACATCTTATAAATTTTGTATAAATTAATGTTTTAGCTATATTTTCTATTGCAATTTTTTTAGTTTTAACTTAATATTTATTGGCATTTGTAATTATTTTTTAAAAAAGCATAAAAATATAATAATTTTATTTTTTATAAAATTATTAAAGGCAAAAAAATGTAAAATAATAACTAGTGAAATAAGATAAGCAAAAGAATATCAATTATAATTAGAGTAAAATAATATAAATTAAAATCTGTGATAAAAATATTTAAATTAATTATTTTATATATTTCAAAATTGATTATTTCTATCATAATCATAAATAAAAAAATATAAAAAATTTTAATATATTAATTAATAAAATTAACAATAAATTAAAATAAAAAAATATAAAATATTTATACAAATTTATGAATAAATATATAAATAAAAAATATAATTAATATATTAATACATATATAAAATAAATAAATAAATTAAAAAATAAATATTTAAAATTTTATTTATTATATGCAAATAAACAAATATTATATTTTGATTTGATATATAATATTTAAAAATATTTTAAAATCATATATATATAATTTATTCGATATTTTTTATTTTTATCATAATTAAATATATCCATTTTTTAAATAAATTAAAATTTATTAAAAAAAATATAATATCAAACTAATTTTATTAATAATGAGTGCTAAATACGAAAATATGTTTATTATTTTAATTTCATTAAATTACTAATATTATGTAAATAAAAATAAAAAAATTTAAACTAAAAGTTATATTGTGAATTAATTAGTACGATAAAAATATCTCTGTTAATTTTATCATATTTATATTTTTGAATTTGAAATAATAAAACTTTAATGTTTGTTTCGATAACATTTAAAATTTAAACTATAATATTCAAATATTATATTAGAGAATTAATAAATATTTACATGATTAATAAATATAAAATAGTTGAAAATTTGTAAGTATGTCAAGAAAAAATTAAAATGAAATATTTATCAAAAGTATAAAAAGATAATATGATTAATATAATAATAATTTGATAACTGAAATTTTTTGTTATAAAAGATATATATAATTATTATACAAAGAAATATGCTGAAATCAAGCTTATCTCAGAATTTAAAATTTAAAAATAAAGTTAAGTAATTAATTAAATTTAAATAAAAAGATATGTATTTATAACTTTTTTGATAATATATATATTTTAATTTACATTGTTAATTCAATTATAAATTTTTCCTTAAAAATAATTTTATTTTATAGTTATGTTATATACTAATTAAAAATAACATGTTTATTTTTGTAAAAAAATTATTTATATATTTTTTAAAAATAAGTTTATTTAAATTTTTATATA